ATTAGTACAGTGATGATAAAAGTCTTTATTAGTATTAGTACAGTGATAATAACTGTCTTTATTAGTATTAGTACAGTGATGATAACAGTCTTTATTAGTATTAGTACAGTGATGATAAGTCTTTATTAGTATTAGTATGGGGCACACGTGTGCAGACATAAACTCTGAAGTCTCTAGAGCTGATCATCAGCTGATTCACCGTCATCAGAAACCGACGTCGCGTCACGTGACGCTTCAGAGTAAAAGGTCGTCTCGTTTCTCTAAAAACACATTTCCTCGTCTCCTCTCTCCTCGCATAGTTTCCTTGCGTCTCTCTAAATCGTGAGGAAGTGACGAAAGAGAGGGAACGTGGACGCACATAAGTGTGGATGAGCCCACAGCCTGATGTATACACGGAGAGACGGTAAGTGTGAAACGTTAGAGACAGTTCACCAGCGCACTGTCTGTCTCTGTGTTTAGTATTATATCATATTATATGGTATATATTCATAAACCTAACAAAGTATTTTCGTTTTCTCAATCCAACTGTGTCCCGGAAAGACGGAAGTTTATTTTGAAAATACCCCGTACATGTAACGAGCGGAGATTGACGTGTTTCTGGACTTTCGTAAAATGAGGAGTAACTTTGCACATTGTAAGAAACATTTATGTGAGGATACGATCAACACACACAGTGCCCGCTGCAGGAATACTTATGTCATAAGTAGATGTCACGTTTTTTGGGGGAAAATGGACAGTTATGTAATTGTAAACACATCTGTAAAACATAATCCGCATGTTCAACTGTTAACAGGGTTGACTTTTGGGATGTCTCCTCTAGTGTCTCCGTCAGCATGAAGTCCACATGGCGGCCGTCCTCTCTGCTGCTGCTCTTACAGCTCAGCTGTGCGTCTCTTCACGGAGGCAGCAAGCCCAACTTTGTCCTGATCATGGTGGACGACCTGGGGATTGGAGACCTGGGCTGCTACGGCAATGCAACCCTGAGGTGAAACATGTTGCTCTGTGGTTGTTATTCTAATGAGAGCAACCTGTAATCCTGCCGGCTGCTACTTCTGAGCATTCTACCTGTAGACATTTGGTTTCCTTTCTTTAAATCTTTGTATCCCCTTCCCTTCCTCCTGTGGAGTGGCTAACTCCCTTTGATGCAGGTCACCACTAACTTCACTGTGCTCACAGGGAGGGTGTGTAACACCCAGGTCTGAAGAACAGAACCTTTACACTTGACACAAGTTATTACCCCTAATTAAGCATGATGCAGTTATTTTAAAGTCCAAGCAGCATTAATAAAATATAAATCTGTCTGGATTTTGAACCTTCCATGTGACTGTTGATGAATGGTGATTTGCAGGACCCCCAATATTGACCAGCTGGCGCGGGAGGGTGTGAAGCTGACCCACCACATCGCCGCAGCGAGCCTCTGCACTCCCAGCAGGGCGGCGTTTCTCACAGGACGATACCCGATACGCTCAGGCCAGTTCAGAGACACCGACACGAAGAAAAACAGCATTTCCACATTGACGTGGTGTGTGATTTCCATGTAAGAAGTGACGGCTGTAGACTGTTCTGTGGTTTGAATGATGTTTCCTCTCCAACAGGTGTAGCTGGTCATAACAGACCTGGTGTCTTTTTATTCAACGCCGCCTCTGGAGGTCTTCCCAGCCAAGAGGTGACCTTTGCTAATATTGCAAAGCAACAGGGCTATGAGACGGCTCTCATCGGTAAATCACAATCATCCTTGATTTCACATGTTCTTCAATGTGGATCTCTGTTATGTGCCAGAGGTTTCTAACCGCATGTTAATGTGGGAATGCCATTAGGAGCACGAAAATATTCTTCACTCTGATGTTTAGGAGCAGAAACATATATTATAATTTAATTGTTTATGTTGTGATATCAATATTGTTATGTAGTAAAGAGTTTAATTATAGTTTATAGCTAAAATAACCAGTCATGAATGTCTGTTTTTGGCGAATACAATACAAATGCCAGACAATTGAAGGTAACTCATCACATATAGTGACTCTATATATAGAGTCACTATATAGAGTTAGTTACGGTTGGGCTTAAGTGTGAAGCCGTGTTCACGTACAGCAGACTGGTCTGATCCAGCATCCATTCATAGATATCCCACAATTAGCTTCATATGTTATCCACATGATCTGAAGGAAGTATAAAGCAGCGCTAAAGCACACACGAGGTGGATGGGTCCAACAGATGGGGCTCTTTCAGCCAGGAGAACGCAGATCGTTCCATGTGAAACCAGAAGTCAGTATTGATGTTTGACTTCAGTAACGGCCTTTCCACAGTTATATGGACCTGAACGACAATCTATTCCGAAACCTAACTAAGTAGGTTTGTTGCCTCAATCCAACTAAGTATTTCCCGATGTATTCCTTTACCTAACAGAGTAGTTTTGTTGCCAAAACATCCTTGACAAACATCCTAGCTAGAGGATGATTCCTAGTGTTTTGACTAGGAGGCAACCTCCAGTTCTGATCAACCTTAAAGCTGCATTCTCTCTAGTGTCCACCAGGGGGCGACTCCTCTGGTTGTATAGAAGTCTATGAGAAAATGACTCTACTTCTCTCTTGATTTATTACCTCAGTAAACATTGTAAACATGAGTTTATGGTCTCAATCTCTAGTTTCAAGTCTTCTTCAAAACAGCATGATGTTCATTTAGTACATTATGGTCCATTTAGAGTCAAACAGACCATAAAGCAGGGGATGCTTTAGGGCGGGGCTGACTGTGATTGACAGGTTGCTGCTGCTACTAGAGCCGTATGGTAACTTCCGTTAACTGGTTGCAAAAAGCCAAGATGGCGACGACTATAATGCACAAACCAATGGGTGACATCACGACGACTACGTCCTTGTCTTATAAACAGTCCATATCCTCAGACTTGTGATCTAGCTCCACCTCTAACAGGTTGACATTCCATAATTCCATTTGAATGCCAAAAGAATGTGATAAAGGTCAGATGCATCTAGCCTGTTTTTACACTGTTGTGACACTAGCAATCATCCATCCATCCATCCATCCATTTTCCACTGCTTATCCGGGGTCGGGTCGCGGTGGCAGCAGGTCAAGCAGGCCGACCCAGACCTCCCTCTCACCGGCAACATGTTCCAGCTCATTCTGGGGGATCCCGAGGCGTTCCCAGGCCAGCTGGGAGATGTAATCTCTCCAGCGTGTTCTGGGTCTTTCCCGGGGTCTCTTCCCAGTTGGACGTGCCTGGAAAACCTCCAGTGGGAGGCGTCCAGGAGGCATCCTAATTAGATGCCCGAACCACCTCAGCTGACTCCTTTCGACGCGAAGGAGTAGCGGCTCTACTCCAAGCTCCCTCCTGATGACCGAGCTCCTTACCCTATCTCTAAGGCTGAGCCCGGCCACCCTACGGAGGAAACTCATTTCGGCCGCTTGTAGCCGCGACCTTGTCCTTTCGGTCACGACCCAGAGTTCGTGACCATAGGTGAGGGTAGGAACGTAGACCGAGTGGTAAATTGAGAGCTTTGCCTTCCGGCTCAGCTCCCTCTTCACCAAGACGGTCCGGTGCAGCGCCTGCTTTACTGCTGCAGCTGCACCGATCCGTCTGTCGATCTCCCGCTCCATCTTACCCTCACTCGTGAACAAGACCCCGAGATACTTGAACTCCTTCGCTTGAGGTAGGCACTCCGTCCCCACCTGAAGGGAGCAATCCACCGGTTTCCGGCAGAGAACCATGGCCTCAGATTTGGAGGTGCTAACTCTCATCCCCGCCGCTTCACACTCGGCTGCAAACCGCCCCAGTGAATGCTGGAGGTCACGATCCGAGGAGGCTAACAGGACCACATCATCTGCAAATAGCAGAGAAGCGATCCCGAGACCCCCGAGACTGACGTTCTCCGCCCCCAGGCTGCGCCTAGATATCCTGTCCATGAAAATCACGAACAGGACCGGTGACAAAGGGCAGCCCTGGCGGAGGCCAACACCCACTGGGAACGTGTCTGACTTATTGTGGAGAATGCGGACACAGCTCCTACTGCAGTCGTACAGAGACCGGATCGCCCGTTGTAGCGGGTCCGGCACCCCATACTCCTGCAGCACCCCCCACAAGACCCCCCGAGGGACCCGGTCGAAAGCCTTCTCCAAGTCCACAAAGCACATGTAGACTGGTTGGGCAAACTCCCAGAACCCCTCCAGTAGTCTTGCGAGGGTAAAGAGCTGGTCCACTGTTCCACGGCCGGGACGGAATCCGCACTGCTCCTCTTGAATCTGAGGTTCGACAAGCGGTCGGAGCCTCCTTTCCAGCACCCTGGCATAAGCCTTCCCCGGGAGGCTGAGTAGTGTGATACCCCGGTAATTCGAGCACACTCTCCGGTCCCCCTTTTTGAAGATGGGAACCACCACCCCGGTCTGCCATTCCATGGGCACTGATCCCGACCCCCATGCGACATTGAAGAGGCGTGTCAGCCAGGACAGCCCAACCATGTCCAGCGCCTTCAGCATCTCAGGGCGGATCTCATCCACCCCCGGCGCCTTGCCACCAAGGAGCTTTTTGACTACCTCAGCGACCTCTGCCAGGGATATGAGTGAGCCTCCCCCTAGGTCCTCAGGCGCTGCCTCCTCTGCAGAGGACATGTTGGTCGGGTTTAGGAGTTCCTCAAAGTGCTCTTTCCACCGCCCGACGATGTCCTCCGTCCGGGTTAGCAGTTCTCCCCCCCCTGCTGAGAACAGCCTGGGGTAAGCCCTGCTTTCCCTTCCTGAGCCGTCGGATGGTTTGCCAGAACCTCCTTGAGGCCAACCGAAAGTCCTTCTCCATGGCCTCCCCGAACTCCTCCCATGCCCGAGTTTTAGCATTCGCGACCACCGCAGCTGCAGCCCTTCTGGCCTGCCGGTACCTGTCAGCTGCTTCAGGAGACCCCTGGGCCAACCAGGCCTTGAAGGTCTCCTTCTTCAGCTTGACGGCTTCCCTCACCTCCGGTGTCCACCACCGGGTTCTCGGGTTGCCGCCACGACAGGCACCGATGACCTTCCGGCCACAGCTCCTAGCAGCCGCGTCCACAATAGAGGCTTTGAACATGGTCCACTCGGATTCCGTGTCCCCAACCTCCCTCGGGATGTGTGAGAAGTTCTTCCGGAGGTGGGAGTTAAAGACCTCCCGGACAGGGTCCTCCGCCAGACGTTCCCAGTTCACCCTCACTACACGTTTGGGTTTGCCGGGTCTTTCCGACCGGTTCCCCTGCCATCTGATCCAACTCACCACCAGGTGGTGATCAGTTGACAGCTCTGCTCCTCTTCACCCGAGTGTCCAAGACATACGGCCGCAGATCAAATGATACGATTACAAAGTCGATCATTGATCTCCGGCCTAAGGTGTTCTGGTACCAGGTACACTTATGAGCCACCTTATGTTCGAACATAGTTTTCGTTATGGCCAAACCATGGCACGCACAGAAGTCCAATAATGAAACACCATTCGGGTTCAGATCGGGCAAGCCGTTCCTCCCAATCACCCCCCGCCAGGTTTCTCCGTCATCGCCCACGTGAGCGTTGAAGTGGCTCTTTCCCCGCTAGCGAGGTGACGTTCCACGTCCCTAGAGCTAGTCTATGCCGCCGGCGATCGGCATGCCCGGGCCTCCCGCCCGACCCGCCGCCCGGTCTGCATAGCACCCGACCCCGATGCTTGTCCCTGCGGGTGGTGGGTCCACAGGGTGGCTGCTCCATGGTGTTTATTCGGGCTGAGCCCGACCGGGCCCCATGGGCAAAGGCCCGGCCACCAGACGCTCGCCTACGAGCTCCCCTCCTGGGTCTGGCTCCGGGAGGGTTCCCCGGTTTCCCTGGTCCGGGCGAGGTGGCTGTAGTCCGTGGGCTAACTATCATAGGGGCTGTTTTGAACCGCTCTTAGTCTGGGCTCTCCCCTGAAACCTGTTTGCCTTGGGAGACCCTACCAGGGGCTAATGCCCCGGACAACATAGCTCCCAGGATCACTGAGCCACTCAAACTCCTCCACCACGATAAGGTGGCGATTCACGGAGGAGCTAGCAATCAGTTAACATGTTTTTTTTTCTTTCAATAGTTTTATTTTAATTTCCTTTCTTGTTTGCAGGGAAATGGCACCTCGGACTTAACTGTGAGAGCAGTGACGATCACTGCCACCACCCCAGCATCCATGGCTTTAACTATTTCTTTGGTATCCCCGTAACCAACCTGCGAGACTGCCAGCCTGGACACGGCACTGTGTTCCAGATCCATAAGTACTTACCGTACAGGACACTGGCCATTGTCCTGGTCAGTGCAGCCTCACTCCACTACATGGGCGTCCTCAGCATGCGCAGAGGGCTGGTTGTGAGCCTGCTGTGTCTGTCGGCCCTGGTCACAGGTCTGACAGCAGGATTCATCATGATGATGCCGTACCTCAACTGTGTTCTCATGAGGGACCACAGAGTTGTTGAGCAGCCGTTCACGTCTGAAAACCTGACACAGAGGATGACTCATGAGGCAGTGGACTTCATGGAGAGGTGCGTTTCAGTCTGGTTCATGGTTTGATGATCAAAACTGCAATATTTGCATGTTTCATAATGCTATGCTACAGTATATGAGAAAATGCTTGTCACTCAACTGTTCCTGCAGGAACTCGGCGGGGCCGTTCCTGCTGTTTTTCTCTTTCATCCAAGTGCACACGGCCATGTTTGCCTCAGCAGCATTCAGAGGAACGAGCCGTCACGGCATCTATGGGGACGCGGTCCATGAAGTGGACTGGAGTGTCGGTAGGTCAGCAGAGTCGGCTTCATTTAATGAGCAAGTCAGCTGTTATTCAATATGTTTGCGATTGTCAGCAAATCCCTTGAAAAGAGCATGAACCTACGATGTCTTCTTCCATCTATCAGTACTTTCTGATTGTGACTGTCAGCTTCCAGCCCATTGGCTCCCACTGAAGACAGAGCACACGCATAATAGCAAGACTCATTCATTTCCTGGTCACTGCAGTTTTTAAATCAAAGAAAGCAGGAAATGGTTTGCTGGGGACTACTTTTATAAAGCCAACGTTTTATATGCAGTAGATTCAATGTGTGTTCAATGTCTATTTTATTTTATTTTAAAGCCCTCTGTGCTGCATTTGTTGAATGAAAGATGCTATACAAATACAGTTTATTAGTATTTTGATATAAACTCTGTAGAGAACCAACACCAAACAATATATGCATCGTGTGTTCTCAGGTCAGATCATGCAGACTCTGGACAGACTAGAGCTGAGAGAAACCACTCTGGTTTACCTGACTTCAGACCAGGGGGCCCACGTGGAGGAAATCTCTTCCACAGGGGAGGTCAACAGAGGATGGAACGGAATATATAAAGGTACAGCATGATGATTTATTTATTATTATTTCAGTCAGGACGCTAACAGCAAAGTTTGAACTATTTGTTTTTGCATTTTAGTAGCAAATCTTAAATGTCTCAATGTCTGAGATTAATACCTTTTTTATGTCATAAAATGGCTTATGTTTAAGTATCAGTTGTGAAACATAAAAATGTTGTTTTCATCTATAAATTAAACTCACTTTTCAATAAATATGAATACACCTGTAAGTTAGATGGTCATAATTACTGGCCGAGTCTTTACATATTCCTCACTGTCACAAATCTATTTACATTACATTACAGTCATTTAGCAGACGCTTTTATCCAAAGCAACTTACAATTCAGATTCTATCACATTTCTACACCGTAGGCACAGCTACGGGAGCAATTTTGGGGTTAAGTGTCTTGCTCAAGGACACATCGACATGCGACTAGCAGAGCCGGAACCGGGGATTGAACCGCCAACCCTCCGATGACTGCTATCCACTTAGCCACAGTCTAACCCACATTTACATTCCATATCACTCCGTTCAAACAGCGCTCCTCACCATCAAAACAACTTCTCACAGTGCCCATCCTTAAAAGTCATTTTGAGTCTGATTATGCTTTCACATCTTCTAAAATAAAGTAATACCAAAGACAGTTTGAAGGTACGCTCAGGCCTGATTTCATGACTTTGTGTTCTTCTTATATGTCGTCTGAGCAGCAGGGAAGTCCACTAATTGGGAGGGAGGGATCCGGGTCCCGGGAATTCTGCATTGGCCGGGGAGCATCCCCAGCGGCAGACAGGTAGACGAGCCCACCAGCAACATGGACCTGTTTCCTACGGTGGTGCGGCTCAGCGGAGTGTCTGTCCCAGAGGACCGGTAAGGCTGCACAGCAGCGAGACAGCAACACTTCCACATGTCGGTCAAAACAAGTGCATCCTGAAATCTAGGTCACATTTACAAAGAGAGAGAGGCAGGGGGAGCCTGAGTGAGATCCAGGGAACCTGTAGAGGGGGTATTTAAGGGGATCCACAGGCTTTGATCGGTTTCATCGAGTCACACATACGATTGACCTCCTGTCCCCTGGTCTTTAGGGAAATAGATGGTCATGACCTCATGGATCTGCTCTGGGGGAGAGTTGAGAGGTCGACCCACGAATTCCTGTTCCATTATTGCAACGTCTACTTGAACGCAGTTCGATGGCATCCCCGAAACAGTAAGACGCACGTAGAGAAATCCACAGTGTGTGAACTTCATGTGCACACAGTTTATTACATACATGTATTTCTATTTCTTCAGGTAGCTCAGTGTGGAAAGCCTTTTACTTCACACCAAACTTCTACCCGGAGAATGAGACAGCCTGTTTCCACACACACGCCTGCTTCTGCTCATCGGACTATGTGACCTACCACGACCCTCCGCTGCTCTTCGACCTCACGAGGGACCCGTCGGAGACCACGCCGCTGACTCCCGACACCGAGCCGGCCTTTCACGCTGTCCTGGCCGCGATGGAGGAGGCGGCAGATGCGCATCGGAGGTCGGTGAAGCCTGTGGAGAGCCAGATGTCGGTGTGGAACCTGATCTGGAAGCCCTGGCTGCAGCCCTGCTGCTCCACGCTCGCACAGCTCTGTCAGTGCCAGCAGGAGGAAGAGGACGTGGGCGGGGCTACAACAGAGGATCATTCCAGTTAACAATGCACACCTGCAAACTCCAAAAACGCAGATTTTAGTCTCGACCGAGTCATTCGGACCATTTTAAAGCCAACTTCCTGATGTGTTTTGTTAGCTTAACTAGCTAGCATACGCTCAGTTACCTGCTGGTACATGTTCTCAAGTGGACTTGGGTACACATTTGAGGTCCTCTACTCGAGCATTTCCATTTTCTGCTACTTCATCTCAGAGGGAAATATTGTACTTTTTACTGCACTACGTTTACACTTTAGAAATATAGTCAATAAAACAAATATTATTATATCAATAAGGCTTTATCTATCCTCGGGGGAAATTCACAGGCTAGTATGTAAAGTTTTATTATATATATATATATATATATATATATACCGTAGTTTTCCGACACTCTTGTAAAGGGAGGGTTGAGGGATATTTCGTTGGTTGCAGTCTGTGTGTATATTATCGTGATGTGATCAAATCGAATTCTTATGTATATTTGGCTCTGTCGACATTACTGTAAACATTGTTAATCAGTCCAAACTGTTGTCATCATTTTCTCAACCGTTATAGAACTTCTTGTCTAAACCTTTATGGAGTTTGCATCAGGATCACATTCTCCTCTTGACTGTTTTTCCTCTGTGCTGCTGTTTGGTATCTGCTCCGTTAAATACAATACTTTGAAATGAAACGGGGAAAAAAAACAAAATGCAACAAGACTTCTGAAAACAAGATGTTTTGTCATTGTATTTTAATCTCAAAATGCCCCAAAAGGCTTTATTTGCATGTTAAAATGTTCTTCCTGATCTGATACCTGATCCAACATTTGTTTCTTGTCACCTGTTCACTAGTCTAGAGTTTACAGGTCTGACAATGACTCCATGAGCCTTTCACACACAAATCTCAAAACAAATCTATTTCAAAATACAAAAACAAGTCAATTTGGTGTCTATTTGACGTGTTATTAGCAGGTTGGATCTTCAGAAGACAGAAGATGCTGGTGGTCACGATGAGGAGGCAGTCATGACGCAAAAGTAGTCATTTCCACAAAAGACCGAGCAGAAAATGTAACCATGGATACGTGGGAAACACTGCTGAAAGTGGAGGTTGTTGATATTTTCAAAAGGGACTTTTCATCCCATTCACAATTTCCAAACAGCACCTCTAAAAGTCTTTACAGTGTAAGTGGCGTTCCTTCCAACAAGATTGCTGTGAATCTCATCTCCGTGTGTCTACTGCACATGTGCAAACACGTGGACAAAGCTGCTGCTTCATGGATATTAACAAAGATGGATCTAAGTATTCAAACAGCTTTGCAAATGTTTTATGAGGGAACATATTCAACATATTTGTTAGGCCTCAAGGATACACACTGCATTTGAATACATTTGAATTAGGAAGCGCTTTTCAAAAAAAAAAAAAAAAACAGGTTGGGTGCTCGGTCCTTGTTGTGGGAGTGACTGATCTGAGGGTACGTGTTGGAGAGTGGAAAGGTCGAAGGAGGCCATGTTGTGGAGAGATGTTCTAGAGAGCCAGCGGAGGTTTTGTTGGGCAGGGGCTGATGTATGCGAGCATGCGGGCAGCTGAGTTTTGAACGTATTGAAGCCTTTTGAGGAGTTCGGACTGAGCACCAAATAGAAGTCTACTGCAGTAGTTGAGTCTTGAGGTGATGAATGAGTGGATGAGGGTTTGAGCTGCAGAAAAGGAGAGGGATGGAAGGTGGCGGGCAAGGCTGTTTTGACAATTCCAATGGAAGGATTGAGTCAAAAATGACTCCCAGGTTGTGAATGTTGGAAGAAGGGGAGACAGTGGAGCCTTCAACGGGGAGGGAGAAGCTGTTGGTGTGGTTGGTGAGGGAGCCCGAGGACATCAGATTTGTTTCAAGTATTTTGAGGAAATTGGTGCTCATCCAAAATGTTTATGTCTTGAAGGCAGTTGGTTGTGGTGGATTGGTGGTGATGGTGATGCAAACCAGTCAATGTAATCAGAACTCTGTTTACAAGCAAACTCAGTAGGGTTGAAGAGAGTCAGGTTAGCTATAGCTTAGCAAACTCTGTCCAAAGCCCCAAAATACACCTCCCAATACCTTCAAAGTTCACTTGCACTTTGTTTCATCTGTACACAGAGCTGTACAGGTATAATGTCATAACTTTCATTCAATCCTTACCATATCCATGCGTCTTGTATTCATATGCTACCTTGTATTAGTATCTTGTATTAGTGAAAAGAGTTATGCAAATCATTTTCAGCAGTTAAGTATATGTGAAAATGAATGAACACAGACAGAGAATTACAGATCATGAGCTGGCGTGAACCCATAAATACAGCTCCTAAAAACACTGTATTAAGAGAAGCAGAACTATGTTTCCACACACTCAGTACATGTATTACTCAACAAGTCCCATCTCTTCCACAATGCTTTTATTTATGACTTTTTTAATTTTTCCAGTTAAACTACCTGCTTGCAAGCTGCAACACACACATGCACTCACAAGCTCGTACATCCTCCCCTAACCACACACACACACACACACACAATTTGCTCTACTTGGTTTTAATTTAAAAGATATTTTTTTTTAGATTAGGTGCTGAATACAATAGCACTGAATAACTACTACAATAATAAATGTAATGTACATTTTATATATAGTAAAAAAAGAAAAGGAAGGAATGTTTACAACTCGCATATAAAATTACCACTTATGTAAATGTACGTAGAATATTCTATAATAGAAGCTAAAGGTTTGTCCCCAGCTCTTCAGATAAATGTTTAAAATGTGGAAGATAGTGAAATTCTAATAAAGAATAACTTGGCTGCATTTCAAGAACTTGCAATTTTAAAGTAGCATTTTCACCGATGATTCGTCTCTTTCAAAATGTGGGGGACATAACTGAATTATTTTTTCGTCATTAGTTTACAAGAAGCTCATGTTGCAAAAAGGAAGCAGCTACACTTCAAGATGAAATATTACTTGAGTGTTGAAAGGACAATGTTGAAGGACAGCAGCCAAGAGGGAACCATTTCAAAGCTCAATTCATATGGAGCGCAATTTGCAAACTTCTGTAGATTGAGCGGAGCTGCAAAATCACCCGGCACTCATCCATTGAACCCTGTACCATCCTTATCTGGTCTGGTCTGTCATGTGTGTGTGCGTGTGTGTGTGAGATAAGTATGTATATGTTTGAGTGGGGATGCAATATTACCTGTGATGTGACTGTATGGTAACTCTGTGGATGGGCTCAGGGTAACTAGCCCTGACATTTATTTAACTGTCATACAAATAACTAACCAATTCATTTTATTCCACACATCGGGATGTTTTGTTTTATTTAGCAACAAGACCTAAATCCATGTTGTTAATTCAATAACTTTGACCACTCATCCTGTTCAGGGTCGCGGGGGGCTGCAGTCTATGGAGCTAACATCAAACAGTGGACTTGGTGAAGTTAGTAGAAGGATCCACGTGCGACTACGTCACTACGTCCAGTTTTCAAAATAAGGTGCTCACAAACGGTATTTACAAAAAACACTAAATTGTGAGGGAAATCTTGGTTGCTGACTGAATAAATTCCTCACATTGATTGCTTGGGCTTGACTAGAGATTGAGACCATAAACTCATGTTTACAATGTTTACTGAGGTAATAAATCAAGAGAGAAGTAGAGTCATTTTCTCATAGACTTCTATACAACCAGAGGAGTCGCTCCCTGATGGACAGTAGAGAGAATGCAGCTTTAAGGTTGATTTGGGATTTCCACCTCTACTAAACACTGAGTTTATTTAAAGAAAGAAGGTCTAGCTGAAGATCTGGATGGATGTGATCTGGAGCTGGATTCCCCATGAGCTCATTGGACAGCTGGTTCTGATGAAAACTAACATGTGGAGTGTGAGTCACAACAATCCACTAAAGTCCTAACAGCAACTTAATGAGCGATTGTGTTGAAATCTGATTGACCTGAATAAGAGGAACTCCCTCGGTCAGCCTGAGGAAGTGGAAAATACTAAATAGATGAAGAGAAAGCATGAACTTTCCCCAAGCTTCAATTTACTAGCCTGTTACACAGGACAGCGTGCAGACTGGTAAGCTCTCCATATACCTAATACAGTGTAAAAAAGAATCAGTAGGTAGTTATTATATTATATTATAGGGTTCGGGCTTCAGGGTAATTTGCTCGCTGAGTGCTCAGGAAGTACAGTGTGTTTGCAGTGTGGGCGCTGGATCTCCCAGCAGCCCCATGGCTCAGCAGCAACGTCTGCTGTAGTTACATGCCGCAGTCATGCTTCCCAAAATGAGTTAAGACGTGAGTAGAAGCACAACACATGAATGTGTGAGACTTGCATACAGACCAGACCGCATACCCTCTGTGGAATCACTTCATCCTGCATGAATTATGCTCGTGCTAAAACTATGAATACGGTGTTTTACAGGAGGCTATTTCAGAATGCAGATCACATTTGAGCTGTCATTCTCTGCTCTACACTGGATTCAACAAGCTGATCAGAGTAGTAACGTATTGCAGGCGTGTGCGGTTTTACAGTACTGCACGGCGAAGTCTGCAGCGGAATGATTACACGAATAAAATGGCCTATTTCCAGACAACAGTCAGTGTTTCATTACAAGTCTGTAACTACTTCTTTTGGTATGCCTACTCTGGCAAACAGTTGTAACAGACAATTGGCAACCTGTCTGGCCTTAACAGACCTGAGGGGAAAGGCTTCTGGATAGCGGGTGGCATAATCACAAATGACCAAGATGTACCTATTGCCTGATGAACTTTTCTCAAGGGGCCCTACTACATCCATGCCTATTCTATCAAATGGGGTAGCAATGATAGGCAACGGCTGAAGCTGAGCTCGGGCTACTCCCCTTTGTGATGTTAATTGACATTCAAGAGATGAAGCACAAAAATTCTTAATCTGGACATACATGCCTGGCCAAACAAATCTCCTGGCAATCCTGTTGAGGGACTTTTGAAATCCTAGGTGGCCTGCCCAGGGGATAGAATGACCCAGCTCCATGACTTTCTGACTAAGACTCTGTGGCAAAACTAAGGCTTCATCCTTCCCCTGCCGCTGATAAAGGATGCCATTTTTAACCACATAGGTAGCTTCTGCTAAACAGTCTATCCTACACCGTCTCTCACCCACAACCTCTGTGACCTTATCAAACCAGGATTTCAGTGCTGGATCAGTTAGCTGCAATGCTGCTATGTCAGAAGGGATGTGAAAATCGAAAGGCTGGTTGGGCTTTGTCACACCTTCACACTGCTTCCTGGCCGTAGCCAAAATCTTATCTCGCCTTCTCTGGGCTCTGGACTTGGGCTGCTTAATTGTCTCTGCCTCCAACTCCACATTGTAAAAAGGTAACTCCTCAAGATTATTCCTGTCTTTCTGTGCTCTAGTTGTGACCATGTTGCATGCAGTTACTTTAGGTGGGGGGTCCAGCTGCTGCTCAACTTTCTGGACTGGTGCCTCTACAGTGCCCTCTATCTGTCCCTCAGCCATAGCCTGGCCCTCCCACTTAGCCTGCTGTATCAAATCTAACAGTGTGGCGACATCATGGCCCAGAATAACAGCGTAGGGTAGTTTGGGTGCTAATGCTACTGACCGTGGACACAACTAATGTTGGAAGTGGTCTCACTCCACAGTTCTCTGGGTACTATACTAGACAGAACCACTGACTGAAAACTGCCCGAGTCCAAAAGTGCCTCCTCACGCTGACCATTCACCAACACTGGGGCAATGAGCGCTCTTTTTTGAACAGGAAATGCGTGAGTGGGTCTGGGGACTGAACACAAAAGAGAAGGCTTACTTTGTCTGGTTGCAGGGCATGTGTACCGAGTGTGACCTAGGGCATTACACTGATAGCACAGTGTATCTGTCCTAGAACTGGAGAAAGGCTTTTTACTGGCATTGGATTTACTGGGAGAGAATTGTCTGCTACTGTATGGAGGCCTAACCTGCGCTTGACCACCCCTTTCACCCCCATTGGACTTACTGCGTCCGGTGAAGTGGCTGTCACGGCCAAAGTTGGGTCTTCTGTTCCCGGCTCCGGCTGACAGGAAAACCTCTGCAAGGCGGGAAGCCTCTTTTGCCGTCTCGGGGTCACGTTCCCGGATCCAAACCTCCAGCTCTGGCTCAACCATCCTCAGAAATTGCTCTAGAATCAAAAACTCAGAAATCTCTTGTACAGTGGAGCTCTCTGGTTTTACCCATTTGGTAAACATGTCCTTCAACCGCACATACAGTTCACGTGGTTTTTCACCATGATTAATGTCCAGTGAACGGAACCGTCATCTGTAGGTCTCAGCTGTGATCTCATATTTAGCTAAGATAGCTTCTTTGACCTTGTCATACACTTCAGACTCTGATACTTCCATAAACACATAGGCACTGCGTGCTTTACCTGTGAGGAAAGGAACTAGATGAATAGCCCACTCTTCTTTTGGCCAATGGCAGACATTAGCCATTCTTTCAAACATTGTGAGGTAATGTTCAATGTCATCATCTGCAGAGAGAGGTATAAACTTAGGGTCTCTGTGGATGTGTGGGGCCCGGATGTGTGGTTGTAGTGGCTCATTCTGCTGGCTGGCCATCATCTTCGGACCTCCCTCCTCTACGTCGTCATCATCAATGCTTAGATTACCCACTCTGCTGTCATATTCACCTCTCATTTCAGTCACCTGCGCTTGAATCCGATGAACGTCGTGCTCCATACTTCTCCATCTCTGGTCTTGGCATATGGTCTCTTTTTCAATCAACTCATCTCTTGCTGCTTGGGAGCGAACCAGCGACTGTAGCAGGTTTGTCAACTCCTCCATGTTGTCAGGCGTCCTGGCTGCTGTAGTCACTCGCTGAACCGCTGAAGTCTCTGGTCCCCCCTTCTCTGGGCTCTCCTGGTGCTCGCTCTTCTTTTTCCTTCTCGTCCTTGGTCCCATCGATATATCGACAGGCCTTTACCACTGACGCCACTTGTAAACATGCCCGAGTGGCCATGGAGGCAAATGAAGAGTTCAGGAGTCCAGAGAGGTTTCAGAAGATGCTTCTTTTATTTTAAAAGGTCGACCATCGCACCAACGTTGACACCAGTGTCTAGTTGCCTCCACTAATTTTTCCACACAAACAAAATGAGGCCCTTATACACACCTGGTCCATCTAATTGGACCAGCCCTACCATCTACAGGTAAATATATTTCTAACTATATATGTATAATAAATATTTACCTGATTTTACCCACACCACAAGTATCTATAATAATAAACATCTAATTATAATGCCTATAAATAAAGTAAATTATAAACACCATCATCTATCTAAATAAACACAGCAACACATATCTTCACTTCCCCCTACCCGCTTCCTGTAGTTGGTATTTCCCGGAACTATAAATGGGTGCTCGAGCCCCCGGGGAAGTAAATAAAGGCCCCGGTCTGTTTTGGAAATACAGCACCCCATCAGCGTAATTTACAAACTGCAAAAAATGATTGATGGCCAATATCCAGCCCTAAAGACATCCTGCTTTACTGAAATATTGCAGTCAATTAAAGAAAGGTCGTATTTAATGTTCCAATTGAAGCCTTGGGGCATTAGTAAGTGTGCCGTAAAACATAATCAATTTGCCTCCTTCCTTGTGAAATGTCCTGAGTGGAGCAGCAGTCTCTTTAGACAATGAGACAGTCCCGAGGGAGGAGCAGCTCCACTGGCTGACAGCTGACGGAGAACCTGCTCACGGAGAGACACCCGGCGGAAACGTCCGACGCTTCAAAGGAGACGCTCCATCCTCGCATCCCGAGGGAACTCCCAACATCCATGACCGACTTCCTGTGAAGTGCTGCGATATCTAATATTTTTTTTTCCCCCCCTCACTGCTTTAAGCTAGGGGAAATGAAATGCCTCCGTGTGAAATTGATGTTCACATGAGGGCATTTCATCACGTTCAGCTGCTGAAGAAAAGGCCCAGAATTTGTGTGTGATAACACTTATCTGACAATGACACACACACTCTTTCATCATCTGCTTCATACATATATACCGAGGTCTTGATGCTTTATCTCACAAACCGACACAGGAAACAGTCACTCGATCCTTTTTAATTATTATTTTATTTGAAAAAGTGGAATCACAGGATATAAATACAGTAAGTAGTAAATGGTCTTCAGCTCATCCAGTCCTCTCTCTTCAGGAACCTCACAGCATCGTTGAACCCTTCCTCACATAAGGACCGCATGCTGCGGTGGGACGGAGGGAACAGAGCCTGGTTCAGACGTTTGATGTTCTCCACGGAGAACTGAGGGAACCAAAGGAAACGATACATCTACGTCAAATCTTCAGGAGATCAGAGAGTGAATATCTATATATATATATATATACCGTATATCTATATATCCCCTCTCCTCTGGTCATGCAGATAGTTTTATGTGCTTCTGTTTTGAGACGTCCAACACATGTACACTACATGTCACACACACACGGCTTGTTTGAATAGTGCTGCTTCTTCACATACATATTCATTCACAGTTTGATTGAAGGCTGATAATATTGGATAAAGTTAACATCCATCCAGACACCTGAGGTACGTCAGTCCCCCATTGTCAGAGGATCCAGTGCTCACCATCACGTTCATGTTGGCCAGCCTGAGTTGCGTGTTGAAGCGCCCCCTGTGGACGGGACACACGTCCTGCAGCCCAGCGAACGGAGACAGAGTGACGGTGCGTCCCGTGGGCAGAATAGGCAGACTGTCAGTGAACCCTCCATCGATCCATCTCTAGTGAAACACAACCAGAGTCTGTGAGGATTCAGTCATGAAATAGAGTTTACCCAAGAGTCACTTCTATAGGCTCAGACGCATATGTCCTTCTACGGCCCCTTGTTCTATCCTTACCTGTTCTCTTAGCTCCACCGCTTTGAGTCCAGCATAGACGGGCACGAAGCTGCTGGCCAGCAGAGCCTGAAGAGGAAACACAGCAGAGTCATTTCATCAGTGAGTGGACACTCGTTGAGCCACAGTGACGTGAGACCATGGTCCTTCAGCAGGCGGTAACGTGAGAGTGTGTACCTTCACGAGCTCCTCCCTGGAGGTGAACTTGGACATGATGTGGTTCTTGCCACTTCTGGAGTGCGTTAGTGAGACGTGGAGGCGGTCGGTGGCCAGACGGTGAGCCTCGCTGGGCAGGATCTCTTCTATCCCCTCCCTGGACACACACACACACACTACTTCAAAATGTGCTCAAGATAAATAAAATTCATTTTCATGACACCCTTAATACAAATGAGATATTTGGCTTGAGTTGTGGTTTCAGGGTGTACTTACCGCAGCGTGAGCATGAAGTTGTATCCCGGTGTGACGGCTCCAAAGCGCTGTTGTCTCACGCCGTCGGCGAACCCGTACGTGAACTCTTTACAGTCCTTGAGGAGAACATCACACCTCATTCAGCTGGACTCATTCAGTCACTAGGACCATGTTCACGTCTCAGTACTTTGGACGATTGGTAATCTGTGGCAGGACATACGTAGCTTAAGGAAGCTCTGACTGGAACATGGGACATTCATCTAAACAATCTAAAGCCAGTCCAGTGGCCTTTCTGAATATAACATGACAGATACAGTTCATCTTTAAATTATGAAGTCATATCTTTATTTAATATCCAAATTAAGTTATCCATGTGTTCTCCAAATATCATCTTTGGATGCTACTTTATTTATCATTTTTTAAGAGCCAGTAAGAATTACAAATTAAGAGGATGAATATTTGATGCCGAGTATCTGAGAACAGCACTACAGAGGAGGAAATAATACTGAACACAGGGAAACTTATGACTACAAGTTACTGTTTATTTTTCTAAATTATATTTAAATTGATTTGTCTATTTCTCTCTGGGTCCTCTGGAAACCCCTGAGACCCTCTGATGGTTCGCCCAACCCCACCAGGCGAACACTCTAACCTCCAGCTTCTCAGGAGCCGTGATGAGCACTGCAGCCACCAGGGCCCCGGCCGAGGCCCCCGCACAGGCCCCGAGGGAGCCCAGCAGCTTGTCCCCGTGGCGGAGGAAGGCCCCCACAGCGCCCAGGTGGTAGATCCCCAAGAAACCACACGCAGCGAAGGACAAGTTCAGGACGGGCATCTCCAGCACCTGCACAGACGGACATGACAGTTCGTCACAGAACTAAGCTAACGCTAGCTAACTAGTGACGCTACGTGAATCTAGAAGAGGACGTACCGTCTTCAGCGTTCACTTATTTCCATTTGCTTTATTCACGGCGAACTACACAGCTCTACCGCGAACTGCTCGATGTAAACACGGAACCTTTACTGTTGTTACACTTCCTGCTGCGTCGGTGTCAAGAGGGAACAAACAACAAGTTTCTATTTCCGCTCGGGACTTTCAAAATAAAACCTCCACAGATTCTGGTCAGTGTGGACAGTTAGCGTTACGTGCTCCGTTGCCATATCTTTGATGCTCTTGTGGTTAAAGAGCATGTTGCTATTGTTGGCCTTGTATTTTTCTTTTTTTACAAGGTTTTATTTAGAACATATACCAAATAAAACACAAATAGCAAATAGCAAAAAAAAAAAAATACAGCAAAGTAATGATGCACAATGTGTCAACAGTATAAACAAATAACGTAAATAAATATTTGTATTAGTAAAAATCCTGCATTTCAAATCTTGAATGCAATACAAAATCATAAGCATCAAAATATACTTTTAAGTACTAAAAGTAAAAGTACTCATTATGCAGAATATTTGATCATAATCACTGATGCATTAATGCTGTGTTCATCTCTTTAATGTTGCAGCTGGTAAGGATTGAGCTCATCTCATTTACTTTGTATACTGCAGGGTATTTTAATTCATAATAACACATGAAAAGTGTAGTGTATCTAGTTTTAAGTTCTGACTTAAATCTCAATCTGCAAAGTAAGTAAATGACAGGAAGTAGGGAGAGGGGCCTAGATGCAGACTCAGACACACAGAAGATGGGAAGTGGAAAATCTTCTCAAAGGAATCCTCAAATACAGAACAAAAGAAACGGAGGTCTCAAGCAACACACAGGGCCCTAAATGTTTGTAAAGTTCTAGTTGTAGCCGACTTACAACACTTAATCTAATATGAAATGCTAGTGTATATTCTGTTTAACTGATGAGAGCAAAGGAAAAGAATGAGATAGCCTATAAACTTTATTTGGTCTCATATATAAAGTATTTAACATTGATATATTTTCAATAACATGCATGAAACGAAGTTGTGATTTATGAAAAGTCTCTTCAAAATGGCTGGTTTACCTATTAAAGAGAAGGTGATCTGGAAACGGCAGTAAAAATAGTCAGGAACGTTCAGCGTATACGTTTGCTGATGATTTATCGATAAGAATTGGGTCGCGATGGTTTATCATTTTTAAAAAGTGGGTCCCCAGAGAAAAAATTTGGGAAACTCAGAATTGTATTTAGTATCTGAGTAAATGTACTATGTTACTTTCCACCACTGCCAAAAAACACTATATGTATGCTAAGCAATAGAAGTGGTCAATATGATATTACATTCTGTAACGTGCATATTTACCAGACTGCAGTGTGGGAGGTGGAGTAAAAAATGTCAGATTTTACAGGCAAGTCACCGCATAGATTTCACCGGCTCATTGAGCCACATTTTGGCGAGTCATCTTGTCACACATCATGTGAACAATGATTCTTGTCCCTTCTGACCTGTAAGGTTCAACTGCTGTGTCCTATTGACAAAACATTACAACTTGTTCAGTCTAGAAGCTTCAGCTGCCCGACAACAACACAGCAACACAGGAGCCCAATTAAACTGTGTGATGCTGTGGCAGCTTGTGCACAAGGTGCCAGACCCAAGGTCTGTTGGAACAAAACACACACACCTCACAGCTGCCTCTAAAATATAAGAAAAAACATCTTTGCATGTAGAATGATAAAGATCCTGAATATCCTGAATGCAAAGTAGCTATTTCAACCCCAAAAGTTGTAGTGAAATTCCTCCCATGAGATGTCTGATAGTCTGTCTTATCATAAACCAAAAAATAAATCCGTGTGCGCTTTTATTATTAGCCCTACTTTGTCGTTTTCCCGCCTAAAGCAGTGTCCCTGGAGTGCAATTCTTCCTCTGCAACCACTTCAGTCAGCATTTATTTCCCATGGACCCCTTCGCCATTGGAACCTTCAGGTTTTTTTTCTCTCGCCTCTGCTATTCTGGCACATCAGCAAAAATGTATCGCTCCTTCAGTGTTGCTTATGATTAAGTATAGACTAAAGTGGATTAGGTGGGTTACGCGCTGTGGATAAAAACAGAGCTGAACTCCATCAGAGGAGGCGATGGTGTCAGTGGGCTGCTGAAATAATGGAGGGAGGATAATGCATTCTGTTTGGTGACGGATTAACAGAGCTGCATTGATCATTTTGAAGCAGCAGAAATGTTTCAGTGTCTCAATGAATGAGTCGCAGTGTGATTCGCTCAGTTGATGCTGAGTTCATGATGATGATCTGACTGAAAGGACCTGCATCCATAAAGCTGCTCAAGTGATAATACAGTAAAAACTGTAGAATATCAAAAGTACGAGTATACACCAGACAGCGTGGCTCCTGTCACACACTAGCTATTATGATTGGAAACTCTTCACACACAAACAAGTGGCAGTTTAGTGGCAATATAAGACATATAGAACAAATTATATGCAAACAAATAGCAAACCCTTAACGCATGCATATAGTTTAAAGGTGCAAAACCCGAAATTGGGATCATGTCGATTGCCTCTCCACAGCTCTCAACATATCTTTACATAGCAAATAGTTTGCTGCTATTTAAATGTTTAGAATGTTAAATACAACTCCTTACATCAAATGTGCGTAGTGAATGATAACACAAGCATGATTTGAGCTGAACATGAATAGGGACACATTTACCAGAGCAGTGTTAGCCAGACTCTTTCAAACATTGTTCAAGTACCAGTAGAGGTCAAAGTCATGATGCTTTAGCATTGAGCTGTGATTGAATTATTCCCCGAGATAAAGGATGGGGTAGTTACTCAGTGGAAAGCCTGTGGCGAGGAAGCAAAGCTGAGAGAGAGAGAGCACATGTGAGGGACACAGAGTCCATGAAATTCTCGGATAAAAGAAATGAAAAAGTCCAATTTCAGATATCAGACTCATTATACAGAGCAAAGTTATAATTAAGAGGTACTTTCAGAAACATGCTGAAGGAACATTATCTGAGTCACATCCACTGGAGGAGTGGCCAGTGTTTGCCCGGAAAGGGTGGTGCAGGATCAGGGTGGGGTGGGGGCATGTATTGGGTGTGATTGTACTTGTCAGGGCTCGGGCCTGCTGATAAAGTCCTAAAGGCTTTTTTTATTGGCAGATTGAGGAGACCCTCCCCCCCTCTCTCTCTCTACACCCCCACACAAGTGAGGTTGGAAAGACATCGCAAGGTCATACAGATAAAGTAAATCTGATAAAAGTTCAAATGGTTCCTGTTGATCGAAATAAGCGAAACGCAGAGGCCGGGCAAGAGAGGGGAAAGTGAAATTGAAAGCTGTGCAGAGAGGCAGTAAGGACAAACCACACAACAGAAACAGACTGGATGTGACAGATGTGAGGAGAGGGAGGTGACGGCTGAGAGGCCATTAGGACAATCACATCACCACGGTGTAAACATGGACCGGTCATATCACTGCAGATCTGCATAGCAGAGGGTGAGGAGACGAGGATTACTCGCCTCATCGGAACATGAGTCGTTGTAATGTCAGCTCAGTATTAGAGGCGTTTTATCGCAAAGCCCAGATCCTGCGAGACTGATTAAAGATCGGTTACTGACAAACAAAGAGAGAAAGGTTCCCTACACAAATACACAACAAGCAGCCTTGATTGAATTACATTCCATCACAGATTGACTTTAGGCTAAAGTGGCGGCACAGTTTTAGGCCCGTATGAGGATGTTACATTCAGAGGTAGCAGATGTGCAAAAAAAAAAAAAGCACATTGCACGGATCACTGGAATGAGCAGTAGCCTGTCGTCTCAGGCAATTTCTGAAATCTTACGGTGTCTCCTGAGGAATACGACAGACAAACTATATAAGGAAGGGAAAATTGGATATCCTTCAGAAGGGAGGAGGAGGAAAAACTGTAATTGTGATTCTTAGAACGGACGCTCAGGCAGGGGAGGCAGAAAAAAACAACAGTGTTCTGTATCACATTTAGGACCAGTCGAAATTCAATCAATTTCTGCAATGGGACAAGTTTACTTAAAGGAAAAGGGCTAAAAGTTCTGGGACCTTGGTGTAATTGGACAACTTCACATCCAACTACTGTACACGATAGGAGCATCCCAAGTCTTAGCTTCCATTAGGACCTACAATAAATCACCAGAATCCCTTTCTCCTTGAAAGACCATCCAGCATCCAGCTTGATGACATGTTTCCCACAGGATTTGGAGACCTCTAACCCTTTAGGGTTTGAAAGCAAAATGAGGAGGCTAGAGCTATGAAGATCTTTGTGCTATTGTAAACAATTGAATCATAAACAATTGCTTTTATAGGTATGAATGGAGATGACACGGCAAAGAGTCACACCCACAAAGCATGGTAAAGCGTGTTTCAAGACGGATCGGGTGGGTTGCTAACATCACCTCAGACCCCTAATGCACTGAGGACAGTCCATCCCCACAGGGAGAGAGGACGCTGCTAGCACTGAAATCCACAGCCCTTGGAAGCGGCGAGGTCTGGATGAGGGATGCTGTACCTTCACCCCGGGCCTTTACAAGGTGATGCCCCATCCCTCCACATAAACTGTCTGGAGCTGTCCATAGTACTGAAAGTGCTGAAGCAACATGACAGCGGGAGCATACATCAACTGTCAGGGCGGTGTGCACTCAGCCAGGCTGCTCTCAATCTGAGCTGCGTCCATCCATCAGGTACAGCACCGCACTGCAGATTTAATGTCTCGCCGAGGTCCGTCCGACAACAAGTGGACAGGTCTGGGATGGCGAAGGTATCAGGCCACTCAGATGACCTGTAAAACATGGCAGATTGAGTGTTAGATTAGACTGTCATGTAATAGTATCAAGGCGACAGGAGGAAAAGTTATAGTTTACTACAACATCCTAATCTTACACGTGTAGTTATGGCATCAGCTACAGACAGTGTAAAAAATGATGAATCAGTTTGTATGGAGGAAGAAATGAGCTGCACAGAACATTTGACTTGGAGTGTAACTTGTGTTGTGAGCGCCAACATCTTTTTATAGCCTAGTAGCACATACAAGGAGTTTGTCTGTGCAGCCTAAAAACACAACATAAATCCTTACTTAACTGGCTTCAATTG